GTCTTTCCGCAAAGTTCGCATAGTTTTTGCATGCGGCACATCGTCGCCAACATCAAAGGGACAAAGGGACTCTGGCTTACTGCTGATGACGAAAGTCTGGCGTACCGAATGGCCCGCTCGGATTCGCCCGACACCTTCTATTGCATTGGCAAGAAATTGTCGGAACTCACAGTCCCCGACAGCATCGAGTGATTTCGACAAATTCATATAGACTTCGAGGCATATACAATTAGCGAGTAGAACTATACTTTCGAAACTTTATTGCAAGGTACAAATTTATTTTAAGAGTATTTATATGCATGAAGGTTTAGCATGTTAACTAGAGTACTCACAGTCGCTATCATCAGTGGCGCCACTACTTTGTGCTGATGAATCCTCATCCGATTCAAAAGCATCAATTTCCACAAGATGGTCGTAAAGCTTTTGCAGTTTTACCTCGGAAGCTTTGATGCAGCCTTGAATAGTACTTGGCTTCAGGTCGTCAAATGCTTCTTCAAGGCGCGCCTTGACCTCAGACAAGCCGGTTCCATCAGCGTAGCGCCGCCCGACTTGGCCTTTCACAATAACCAACTCGATTGGCTGCAAATCCGAGTGATGGGGCGGGGTAAAGACAACTCGGTGTCCCTTCAACGCTGCCATTTGGTTGATTTGGGGCTCGACTTTTTGTTGAATGTACTCCGACAGCTTTTGCCACAAGGCGCTCTTGAATTCCTTTTTCCTCGAAGGGGATGCCGTAGGCAACGCACGCTTCTTGGAGGGTTCGCTTGCACTGGCGACTGTTTGGTGTTCCTCGAGGGCGTCCCTTGTGGTACTTCGCGTTGTCCATAACGATGTACGCACCTTGAACACCCAACGCGTCCAACTCGTCCAGCAACGAATTAAACCACTTGACAAAATAGTCGTGGTTGAACATACCGTGATAGTCCTTGGGTTCCTTTGCCTGAGACTTCCCGCCTCGAAAGATGTCAAGAGTCAGCACACGACAGTCCATCGCGGGGGAGTCAAGGATGCCGGCAATGAAACAAAATCGGCGCCCCTTGTGATTTTCCTTGCGCTGAATGTCCTGCTCGTCGCTGGGGTCGTACAACGAGTCGTGGTGGCGCTTGTAGTGATGATGGATAAAGGATTCGTCCATGTACACGACGGAGGGCCGGATCGTGCCGGTGAGAAGCGGATGCATGAGCTGCACGTACTCATCGCGCGCCAACACGTTCGACTTGGACAGATGGTAGCTCGACGATCCTGGCTTCTTGCCGCGCTTGTAGCCACGACGCTTCAAAAACCGCTGGACTGCACGGACGCCAGCGAGGGTGGCAGTCTTGCTTGTGAGGTCCACAGAGAGAACGTCCATCTCGTTCAAGTACGTCAACACGTCAACAGCTGTCGTCCGCATGCGCGTAGCACGGCGTGATCGCACGAATGCTTGGATCAGTTCAATGTTTTGCGTCGAGTGTACGAGCCTTGTTGGGTGCGCTGTGCGGTTCGCGGCAGGGGTGGCTGCCGTCACAGTTCCGTAGTCACAGTACTCACGCCACACTCCACGAACAACAGCAACGTTGCGTCCAAGTGCTTCAGCCACCTTCTTGGACGGAGCGGTCTCGCCTTGGCTCGTGTAGAACGCGAACAGTCGAAGCATGTCCAAGCGCTCTTCACGTGTGAGCGTTCTCGCTCGCGCCATCTTGACGAACTCCATCATACATGCGGCTGATGTGTCGCCCATGCCAAGCAGCAGTGATTATGAATGGACCCTTCATCCTGAAACCAACCATTGTTATTATTGGCCATGGCAGTTTATAAAAGCTAGAGGTAACCTTGATACCTTATTTTCAAATACCTCTATAAGTATAAGTTGTCAGAGGTTATGTATATGTGGGATGAAAATTGAACTATTTCTGTTTCATAAAACAAAGGTTATTATGTTTTAAGGTATTCTATTCATACATGGTTCTTTCCCTGTCAATTCCGCGTCTCCCATACAAAACCCCATATAAATCTGATGTGATTTGGAAAATTACAGGTCAAATTTCTATTCGATGCTGCCGTTAACTGTCAACGCTGGTACATAATTGACTTAATGTAGTACTTGACCTGTTAAGTGCATGACCGGGTGTTTAACCCATCAAATAACAACTTGACGTTTGACCCGCGAAATGCCTGGTCAACATACATTGGTTATATTTTTAATTGTTCACTTCTAGGTGCCGTTAGATATCCCCGAGAACAGCCTACCAAGGGCAAACTGGGTTACCTACGCATCTGTGAAACCCACGTTCAATAACGTGACGTCGAACTTGGGAGAGTCGGCCAACCAGTGGCTTGGCGTAGACTTACGTTCATCCGATGCAGTCCAGCTGCATTTAAAGTACCTCATACACTTGCTTTTGAATGTGAACACCCGCAGGTATACAATTCAGTGCATTATATCGTATCACTATATACTTAAATATCTTCAGGGAAAAAGCAAAGGCGTGGCCAAGCGATGGAATTACTCCGTACTACATGAAGGAATTCAGGGAGATGAGGGAAAAAATGGATTTGTTATATGCTCCATGAATGATGAGTGATAAAACCGCATTGTGTAATGCGCTGTACAGAGGCACTTCATTTTCCAATGAAGTTTGGGCCATTTGCAACGGCCTAATCACTAGATTCCACTCACCAGTCCTCCATCATTTGTTCATGCTTTCATATCGAGCCACAATATCGTTGTGCTGCTGATGGTTACATGATCTACACCGACGAATGAACGCCGTGGTGCATATTGATTGCAGGCTCATTATTGCGTAGCCCCGTACCATGATATAGTGTCAACCATTTCGACACTTGAGATGGCTCAACAAAGTCCGCGCCAACTACTATTCGGACGTTTTATAGTATGTTTGGAATGTACTAACTAGTTTTTCAAATTCTACTATTTTTCAATACAATAATCAAGCTTATATCAACCACTATAATGTACTAAATGCGCCAAAATTTGAAGTCAAATTCTGGATTTACCTGAATCTCCTGTATCATACTGGAACTATGATTATATTTTGCAATGTAAAGCCGACCGGACGACGCCCTGGCACTATTACATTCTTCATAGTGCATAGATTTCAGATCCAGCAATAGTCTTTGACGGTGAGATCAGCAGAGTAAGTTCCAACGAGCTGAAAAGTGGAAATTCATTGAATTTTGACCTGTATATCTGTTTTGGATGTCAGATCCAACGGGGTTGCTGCGCATACTTTGGAATACAAAGTTCCTCTATTTGATGCTTACACTGCATAGATATGTGATCCAGCAAAACTCGGGCGATTGGTATTGTATTTACAGAGGTCTAGTCGTTCAAAGTTGTTAAATTTGTTGGTTTACGGAAAACTGGGTTACCTGATTCTCATGGAGGGGTATTTCCCAGGATCGTCCAACCAAGGCCAAAATTTCTCATGATCGTCCAAGTTGAACTTTGTCGAAATAATTTTATTCCAAATCGTCCAAGTAGTTTTCATTGGCTAAAAATACTTGGTTAAAAAAGCTATGTCGTGTTTTCCATTGCCATTCCAGAATTCCACAGACCGTGCCGCGCCAGAACGCAGGCATGGACCAAGCACATGCTGGAACATCGGTGAGCACGATCATCCTTCCATAACGTTAACCTAACGGTGTGCTCGAGTTCTGTCGTAGCTGTGCAGTCAGCCCACGGCCGACCCGCCGCAGATTTGCCGACCCGCCACGA